GCTCTTATCGAAGAGGAGGTTCTGAGTGACCGCCGTTTGAAGATTAGAGAAATTGCAGCAAGGCTTGGGCTTTCTAAGAGTACCGTTCATCGCGCGATCCATGAACATCTTCACATGAAAAAAGTGAGTGCAAGATGGGTACCGAAACTTCTTTCAGCGGTACAGAGACAGGAAAGAGTGCGTTGCGCTTCGGAGTTTTTGGATCTTTGTGGCGAAAATCCAAAGACTGTGATCGAGCGGCTAGTGACTGGTGATGAAACTATGATCTTGTATTATGATCCACAAAGCAAGCGCGAGTCAATGGAATGGCGTTATAAGGGTGAAAAGCCCCCTAGAAAGGCAAAGGTGCAACAATCGACTAAAAAACTGATGTGCACAATATTTTGGTATTTTCAAGGCATTTTGATGGTGGATTTTAAAGAACGTAATACAGTCGTGAATGGCGAATATTATGCTTCTTTAATATATAAATTACGAGCCAAGATAAAGGAAAAACGAAGAGGCAAGCTGTCTAAAGGTGTCCTGTTGCTCCATGACAACGCCCCTGTTCATACCGCTGGTGTTTCGAAGGATGCAGTTCGTCAATGCGGGTTCACAGAAGTTCAACATCCACCTTACAGTCCAGACATAGCCCCGTCCGACTATTATTCATTTCCAAATTTAAAGCGGGACTTAAGAGGAAGAAAATTTTCAAGCGATGAAGAGTTGCAGGCGACCGTCTTCAGTCATTTTGAGAATAAAAAATGTGATTATTTTTATAAAGGTTTAGTGATGTTGATTCACAGATGTCAGAAGTGTGTTAGTATTCATGGTGATTATATTGAAAAATAAAATTGGTTTCGTTTCATTTCCTTCATTGGTTCATAGTTAGGCCAATTCATTATGGGACCGCCTACGTATATGTATGTATGTTTGTTCCATTGTGTTGCTCTAGATACCAAACGATTCGGCCGATTTTGATGACTTACTTCTATCGATTTATCTAAATCTTAGAGTAATTACATACATACGTATGCATAGATAGAGTCTGCAATTCTACATATAGAGAGTCAATATTATATTGACCTCACTTTTTCTAACAAGACAAACAGAGACAAATGTATTTAAAGATGTTGCGTGTAATTCATGAGTGTAAATAGAAATGTCAAGTGGTCATCTTTGGTATCTTTAAACTATGCCAAATATGAGAATAAGTACAATCGTATCGGCTGATTTACTAGAAAAACGGCATCCCTATTGTAGTAGTATTATGTGTGACGTCACTTTACAAGACATGACGGCTTTCATCTTTAGTGATTTCATTCGCAATGTCGTACATCAACATCGATATACTAGTTTTTCTTTAGTTATTTATTTTTAGTGTTACTTTAGATGTCTAAAAATATAAAATACATACAAGTAAAGTAAAAGCCTATATACGCCCCACTGCTGGGCACAGGTCTCCTCTCATTTCTGAGAGGGTTTTAGGGCAAGGAAGTGTCCGCCGCGCTGCCCCAATGCGTGTTGGCGAACTTCACATCTTTTCGAAATATTTTTTTGCTTATTCCTCAGACATGCAGGTTTCCTCACGATGTTTTCCTTCACCGCCAATCACGAGGTATATCAGCAATTAAAAATTGCAATTAACAATTTCATTGGTGCCGGCGGGGATCGAACCCAGGTTACTCGCGTTCTGTTATATTTACAGCGAGCGTTAACCATCTGAGCTACCACGGCTCCTATAAAATACATAGACTAGACTAATTATGATTCGAACGATCAAGTAAATTATTTTCTACTTAAATCAAGTGATAAATATTAAATTAAATTGCAAATTATTCGTTTTGCAAAACAAATAGTTAAGGAGGTACGGACACTAAGTCTTGACAAACACACGGTACATCAGTGAGTTGGATCCCATTTATAATCCCAAATGTATATGCTGACTAACAATCTGCCCCGGCTTCGCACGACTGATCTGAATTTCAACAAAAGCGTCGCTTACCGGGTCCGATTGTGAGTGTGAGTGTTCATTAAAATCTGTCCAATCTTTCTTAAGTGATAATCTAAATTTATATATAAATTTTAATTTAAAGTTTATTTTCTCATTTTAAGAGCACCTCAATAAAATTTTGTTTTAAAAAATGTTCTTTCTGCTATTAATTTATGTTTTAATTTTCAGTTATTGCTCATGTTTTTAAGTCTGTTCATATAATTTAATACGTCATTGTTGGTTTTTGATCGCCATCTTAGATCCATCATTTCGATTTTTTTATCGATAGCAGTTTACTCTTATCGGTCCCTACAACATTAATTTTTTCGATCACCATCAACGTATCGCTAAACTTTGCCGAGTTATAACTCTTTAAGATTGGGTTGGCGGCCATCTTGTCTTCCGCAATTTTGAAGTTTTTTCACCGCCGCTAGAATTTTCCCAGGGCCAATTGTAGGCCGATATTAGTTAAGACGCAACCTCACTGAGTCTTACCGTTTAGTCGGGTTGTACTATACCAATTCCTCGAAGAGCTTAAAGTGGATGTCATTTTACTCGTATTCTTGTGAGCGAAATCTTTCATTTGATATCTATATCACGGGGGTGCATAAAAACATAGGCTGCTATATTTGGGTGTCCACCGTAATAGATTTAGTGACGTCATTATATTGTATTCTTCTCAGCACACCCCTTAATTTGATACCCATATCATGGGAGTCATCTTAACTAAAAATGTATGTAACATTTGAGCTCAATCGGCTGATGGTACTTAACTGATTTAAAATCCAATTGCAAGGCTTGACCCCAACAAACAAACATTGTAAGTTAAATAAAAGCTTTTGAAATATCAGATCCCTCTTATAATTACTACATTTGACTAATGAGGACTAATAAATACTTTAAATGAATAAATCTAATTTAATAATCGGGCACACTATACGCAAAAAAAAAACTAAAAAGTAGACTAAAAATTTAGTTCACATAATATCATCTATTGATGAATATTTTAAGTAAGGTGAAGTAAAAAATGGTATTAAATTAAAATAACACACATTCTGAAAAATATGAGTAGAATCTGGTACCTTCACAAAGCAGTTTGTTGTAAACCCCTAAAGAATAAAAGAAGTAAAATATAGATACTAATGGAGAATTATATCATTGGATGATTAACATAGATTTCATTTAGAGAGTGAGTTTTAAATTACTTAGCTCACCTTTGAATTTGAGTGAAATTGTGCATAGTATGCACTTCACCTTAAGTGTACGGCGCCCCCCGACATTGGGAATTAAAAATGAGTTAAAATAGTTAATTAAACGCGATAAAATCTGTAAATATAGTTTTATTAATTATTTGATTTAATTTAAAGTTTATTTTCTTCTTTATACAGCATTTCATTAGAAGCTTGTTTTTAAAAATGTTTTTTACTATTCAATTATTATAGTTTCAGTAATTTTTTAGTCGTTAAATGTATCTTGTCTTGTTGTTACTGTAACATGTCTTAATTCAACTTGAATTTTTCACGTTGATTTTATTCTTTCTAATAAAGATTGTATAAAAAGCTGTTTTGTAATGTTGAGTAATTGTTCTAAGGAATGGGTTAATATTACTTAGGAACGGTATGATCGCTATCAAGCTTTTTTTCTACAAAAATTTTACTTCCCGGGACAGTGATATTTTTCGAACCAATTGTCAATTACACATTAGAATGGTCTGAAATAATGTGTTATAAAACTATATTGAATAATTTTTTTATTTTTATTTAATTTTTTTTGTGTAATGTATATATATATCTTATTAAAAAGCTATACTACGTAATTTTATATGGCACTTTATGATATTCATTTTATTTATTTAAAATTTATAACGTAATATTTTTGTAGTAAAACTACAGTTAATTATGCCAATATCCAGCTAGAGGGAAGTGTAATATTAAAATCTCAAACCTAAACCTTAAAGTTTGCACACATCGAACGCGAAGCGGAGATGAAATGCTCTATCGTCACCAAATCAAAAAATCGCGATCCACTCAACTTAAATTACTTCCATTAGCTTTTTATATTTAAAAAAGTAATACGTTTAAAAAAATAACAAGAGGAGATTTCGATTATGACTTCTGTAATTAGATTATTTATATCTATTATAATTAAAATAAAAGTTAATTGAAAATCATTTCACTTGAACGTCAGTTGGTTGGTATAGATGTGAACAAGATATTTTTGGAATACTGAACTTATCACTCTGACTTTTTTTATTAGCTTAGATTTTAATCCTTATAAATCCTTTTATATATTACTAGTGTTAGCCTTCTCGTTGATTAATATTTGACAATTTTTTTCTGTAACAAAGTACGAATCACCAATCTATAGTATTTAATAGGTATCAAGCAGTCAAAAACAATTTCATGTTAATTAAACAGAAACATTTTTTGTAGCTTTCGTATTTCTTATACGTGTTTCGCTTATTAATAAAATTAAATTGATTATGCCAAACATGCACTTTTGGATTTTCTAAATTATTATGCTATATTAGTTTACGCTGTAAGACATTCCACACTCAGAGATGGCCAAGCACCATTTTTTTGCTGTGGCTGTATTGAATATTAATGATTTCTTAAATTTACGCGAACACTACACATTAAACATTATTACATAAACACAAAGTCAAAAAGAAAAATGCGATAAAATCCGCAAATAATAGTTTTATTCAATGTATTGAATATTTTCTGTAAAGTGGACTATTATTAGCAAATAACACGTTTTCCACAACATTAATTTTACAAGAGCTTCAAAGTTGCGTTATTAAAAAATCTCATATTCAGCAGTCAACTTTTAAGGATTTGTTTACGTTACTACTTAACTAGGATTCTCGCCTGTTTAGTTGAGGATTTTCATAAAGAAAAATGTCACATGAACAAAATATCCCAACCCGAAATTAACAATGCTACTGACCCGAATGATAAAATAGTATGAGAAGACACATAAATTGGCCCAGCAAATTAAAATATTGTAAAAAAAATTTAATAATTACCATTTAATCTGTAAATAACGCCATGACAATAATGCACTATAAGCACCAGCACAAAAATTATTTTCTTCATTTTTATTAAACGAATTGTAATTAATATTTAATAATACGAACTATACTAATATACAAACAAAATGATTTACAATATAATGCAACATTTGACTGACGGCGTAATACGTTATGTTCAAATAACGTAATACAAACGACTTTTTAAGAATCATCTCTAAGCAAGTCCTATAAAGATCTTTTGTTACGTAAACGCGAAGCTTGTAGCAAAAAAAAAAAACGTAGCATACCTACTATGATGTATTGTTGCTAGTTAAGAAATGTTAAGAATGTACAAATATGTTTACTATTTATATTATACTACATATCACACATATTTTGTTAGAGCCGTGCTATTATGGTCGTAGCACGAATGCGATAATTCGACCGGGGAAGGACCAGGCTCTTACAGAATACCAACGAAAAATAGCAGCTTAATTCTGCTGTTTTATATCGTAGCTTAAGAGCTTTACAGCGAACTGGAGACCCTTTTTACTAAAAACGAGGCATACTATCTTAGTTTTCAAGGGTGACAACGTAGGGTAGGGTGGTGTAAGTTTGCGCAATTTCGAATAATTCGGTCATAAAAATAAAATACACGAATTAATTGCAGGTTGCTTTATTATTATGAAATCGGAACTTATCTGGGAATAACTTTTAATACTTAACAATAAAAACAGAAGTCGAGAATTACGCAACCTTACACACCCCGGTGTATAAAATTCCGCATAGGTGGCGATAAGATGGCGCAGTGTTTGTTCAAGCGAATTACTTGCATAAATCATAATAAAATACCTCAAAACCCAAATAATCAGTACACTTTTCGTGGTACCACATCTGGCACATATCGCAATTGATCCAGTCTTCATCATTAGGCTCTACAACGACTACGACTACAACTACACCTCAATACCTTCTTTTTTGGTAAAGCCTTTGGCTTTTTAAACAACTTTTTACCTCCATTTGCGCTAGTTTTTGGATAGGACTTCTTTTTTTCATTAATTATTTTCGAGCTGCTAACCGACTTCTTCACATAAAACTGTTGAACCCAGTAACACGCGCAATGCTCGTGGAAGTTCGCAGTTAAAAAGCACTTCCGGATTCATCATCATCAACATCATTACAGCCCTTCACAAGTCTACTGCTGAACATAGGCCTCCCCCAAGTAATGCCACAAAGCACGGTCCTGAGCCACCTGCATCCATCGACTTTCTGCATGTCTTACCAGGTCGTCACTCCATCTTGTGGGAGGTCGCCCTACACTACGCCTATCGGTACGAGGCTGCCACTCTAGAACCTTTCTTCCCATCGGTTATTGATTCTTCGAGCTATATGGCCGGCCCATTGCCACTTCAGCTTACTAATCCGTTGGGCTATGTCGGTCACTCTGGTTTTACTGCGGATATCCTCGTTTCTGAGTCTATCACGCAGAGAAACTACGAGCATAGCCCTCTCCATAGCTCGCTGAGCGACCTTGAGCGTCCTCATACGGCCAGCAGTGAAGGACCACGTCTCAGATCCGTACGTCATCACTGGGAAAACGCACTGGTTGTACACTTCAGTTTTCAGAGATTGAGGTATACCTGACGAGAAGATGTGTCGTAATTTCCCGAACGCTGCCCAGCCGAGTTGAATCCGTCGATTGACCTCTCGGTCGAAGTTGGACTTACCTAGTCGGACTATTTGTCCCAGGTAAACGTACTCGTCAACAATTTCGAGCATAGTGCTCCCAACAACTACCGACATAGGTGTGACATGGACATTAAACATAATCTTGGTTTTGTCCATGTTCATCTTAAGACCTATCCGTTGGGAAACACCATTGAGGTCATTGAGCATAGTGCCAAGGTCCTCCAGCGATTCTGCCATAAGGACTATATCGTCGGCAAACCGAAGGTGACTGATGTACTCGCCATTGATGTTAGTACCGTATCCTTTACAGTTCAGTAGCTTGAAAACGTCTTCCAACGTAGCGGTGAAGAGTTTCGGGGATATAACGTCACCCTGTCTTATGTCTCTCTGCAGTTGGATAGGTTTCGAACTCTGGTTCTTTACTCGGATTGCCATCGTAGCCCTACTGTACTAACACTTCAGCACTTCGATATACCGACAGTCAACTTGGCACCGCTGAAGGGACTGTAGCACCGCCCAAATTTCAACGGAATCAAAGGCTTTCTCATAGTCCAAATACGCCAGGCAAAGTGGCAGATTGTACTCTTCGGTATACTGTACAATCTGCCGCAGGGTATGTATGTGGTCTATGGTACTGAAGCCTTTTCGGAAACCGGCATGTTTGGGAGACTGGAAGTCGTCGAGTCTGCGTGCGAGACGATTCGTAATGACTCTCAAAAACAGCACGTTGACGCGGCTCAGAAGGGAAATCGGTCTGTAGTTCTTCAAGAGAGCGTTGTCGCCTTTCTTAAAGAACAAGACCATCACACTTCTGCTCCACGCCTCCGGTGTAGTGCCACCATGGAGGACGGAATTGAAGAGCTTCTTAAGGACTTCAAGTACCAGTGTTCCACCCGCTTTCAGAAGCTCCGCTGTAATTCCATCCTCGCCTGGGGCCCTGCCGTTTTTAAGGTGCTGGAGAGCCATTCTAATCTCGCTCAGACTGAAATCTGGGATATCATTGGAATAGTGTCGGATAAGACTTGCTCTTGGATCGTTACTCACACTTGCGTGTGGCTCCAACGATGATGTGTACAGCTGCCCATAGAACCTCTCAATCTCATTCAAAATCTCAGGTGTCCCGGAAACGATGCTGCCACATTCAGTCTTCATCTTTGACAGTTGGCTCTTACTGGCAGACAGATCTCAAGCAAAGACTTTGGAGCCCTGGTTCCGCTCGATTGCTTCTTTAATACGAGCAGTATTAAAGATGCGTAAGTCTCGCCGCATGCATTTGGAGATCTGTCTATTCAGTTGCCTGTATGCTGTCAAATCTGTTGACGATTGCAGCCTCATCTCCCGTCTAACAGCCACGAGATTAAGAGTGTGATCGGAGAGTTTTTGTGTTCTTCTGCGGCGTGTCTTGCGGAACTTATTTGCGATCGCATGGACAGTTTCCACGAGCTTGTCATTCATATCGTCCACTGCATTGCAATCTTCTAGGCACTGAAAGCGGTTACGTAACTCGAGCTAAAATGTTTCGGGATTCTGGATCTCTAATCCCACGAGGGGGACGGAGCATTGACTTCATTAGACGAGACCTCTCCAACTTAACGTTTAGGTTCAGTGTGCCTCTAACCATTCGGTGATTGCTGCCAGTTTTCACCCTTGCGATCACTGAGACATCACTGAACAGTTGGCGTCTGGTCGTCATAATGAAGTCAATCTCATTTTTTGTCGAACCGTCGGGGCTCGACCAGGTCCACTTCCTGTGGGGCCGCTTCTGAAAGAAAGAGTTCATCATAAAGAGTCCCTCTTTCTCCATAAAGTAGGTCAGCTGCTGGCCCCTTCGGTTCCGTTGCCCTACTCCAAATTTCCCTAACTTCAGCTCACCGTTTTCTCTTGTGCCTAGTTTTGCGTTGAAGTTTGCATAGACGTCTACATCTATCCTCGATTACAAATCAAAATGCAGATGCGTCGTCACCCGTGAGGACTAAGATGGAATGCTTCGTTTCCAGTAAAAAGGGTCTTCGGTTCTCTACACTCACCATACGAAACACAGCAGCATTAACCTACTATTTTACGCTGGTATTCTTTGAGAACGTGGTCCTTCCCCGGTCGAGCCGACCCATTCATGCTACAGACGGACATGATAATTTTACTTTTAATTTATTTTATTTTATTTGATATTAAATAAGTATATTATATTGATTTACTTACTTATAAAAATAATGATTTAATATTTTATGTTAAATAATTTTCACATGTCAGACGTGGTAAACATGTGGACTATGTACAACAATTTGTTATCTTTAATGTATTATATTTATCAAGTAAATAATATTATTATTTTTTTTTTTGGTATTTATATAGTTAATTTTAGTATTTATGTAGTTTTAGTTATATTTTTATAAATATATAAATGAAAATGATAGATATACATACATATCAATAAAATAAATAAAAATTAAAATAATTAAAAAAATTAAATAAATAAAATATTAAAAAGAACTAAGAAAAAACTCTTTAGTGCATGACGTCATGGGTTTCATTTATTTTGTGTAGGTAAGTTATTATTTAGTGATCAAATAAATAAAGTGACTTTTAAAATAATAATGTTCTCCTGATCGAAATATGATGTAATAATATTTGTATTTTGTCTCCCATAGTATCGCCAAAACTCCCTAGTAATAAACTGACAACACCAGCTAATCAGAATAACCTACAAAGTAACGAATTAAAAACTCATGTTTTCATAAAATAATAATGGTTAAGTAACAAAACTTATTGATAAAAGTATATAATATTGGTAAAAGTGATCTTGGTGTTATTATATGGTTTTGTCACACAATTGCGACAATTTAACAGCACTAACCGGCATAAATAATTATTTTTCGTGAGTACGTTATCCCTAAGTGATTCAAACTACGCTGACGTAGGTGAGAAGCGAGTCTACTAATTTTATTAGACTTTATTTGGGCCGTTCGGTACAGACAAAGTGGCATCTACACAGGTATTTAATCAAAGCCTTTGAAACACCGAACCATAAACATTTGCAAGCTGCTAATAGAGTTTTAAATTAACTTTTGTTTTGAAACTTTCCGGATCAAATTCGGTTTTTTAGTTCTACTTGTTCTGTATCTCTTAAACACCATTTTACACATCTGCAAGTTGTAATACAGTTTCAGATATTTTTTTTTGAAAATGTGGATAAATAATGAATGTATGAAGTAAACATACTTCATACATTCACTATCTATCCATTTTTCCGAACCAAGCATCGCAAATCTTGACAAATGGCCTTGCAAGATGCATGCATTGAGCATCGCAGATAAGTAACTTAATTACCATTTTTTAATCTAATTTTCTTACTCTTTATTAACAGCCCTTAGTAACCACGGAAAGTCCAAC